CCAACGCAATCTACACTTGATGCAGTCCAGCAGCTTCTAGCCAATCAAATCAGCTCATTTGGTCAGAAAAGAAAAGTTTGCCACCAGCTGCTTGTTCCGGATCAAACCAAGAGCATGGCAGATGGGGGGGCTGCACTAGCTGTGATGGGCTCAGTTATTTCACTCAGTCCCATTACAGGAAAAACTCTAAAGTCTGTCTATTAGAAGCTACCTGACGTTTTGTAATCATATCTGTTTTACACAGAAAAATCCTGATTCAGCTTCATTCAGCCGGGAACAAAGCTACACCCAACTGTTGTGTCACATGACCAAATGAGCTCATTTCATTGGCTAGAAGCTGCTCGACTGCATCGAGTGTAGGTTGCTTTGGCTGGAGTTCACCAAAAGGTCGACACATCGGCAGGCAAAGTTTTTGCAGGTGAATTTCTTGCACCTGAATTTTTAACTGATAAAAACTCAGTGCAAAGAATTCAATGTGTAAAAAAATTTAATGTTTAAAATGTGGTGTTCAAAAAAAGGCAGATTCCAATGAGACCGTTTTTCTTCCATAGTTCAGACTTGGAAATAAAAGCTTCAAAACGCCATCAAAGATCTGCACCTGTAGGGATTTGAAATAAAACCTGCAGGGATTTTTCCTTCAGAGTAAAACAAAACGGAGACATCAGGACAGCGAATGGAAAAGGTTTTGAACATAAAGATAAAAACTGATCTTTCTGGCTCTAGAAAACCAAACGTCTCATGACTTTATTGAACATGGCCGTTTCTGACTTCACTGCATTAAAACTTGATCCTCCTCTGAGGGGAAACGGGACTGAACTGTGTCCTCCTCCTCTTTCCTGCTATACGGCAGCAGTCAGATGATCTCTGCTTGCTCTGAATGGGATTTTCCTCTTCACCAAAAGGTGGAAATCCTTCCATTTCTACAAGATTTTATTTTCTAATTGACATCAACTCACAGCTTCATAATGGAGGGGTTTTCATCTTTAAACACCTAAACCTAAAGGCAGCCTGGGGCCTAATCAATGACTTCATCTCACAGCAGATCAGATGGACCATCTCTGATATGTGAGGATAGCTCTGCAGCAGCGTTAGAACAGGGAAACCCCAGGATGACCACCATCTGTCCATGAAGTCAGTCTGAGTCATGCTAACATCAACAAATAAGGCAGAACAAATACTAAAGTGCTTCTAAAACCCTCTGTCAGTTATTACAGCTTCATTCAGGATAGATTCCACATTCCCCTCCCCTAAAATATCTTATTCTATTTTATAAGGAACTTTCCTGGTTGAATAAAGGTTAAAGAAATAAATGTAATGCATCTAAATTCTATTTCCCCCACAGAAATTAGCAAAGCCCCCCCCCATCAGGACTGTAAACCAGCAGACAGTTTCTTTCCATTAAGCACAGCATCATTCCTGCGCAGTGTGTACGGATCTACACCAATCAGATCTATGACTAGAATGATGCTAGCAGAGCGGCAGGCTGAGGAGCAGTGGGAGCCTCACCGTTTGTCTGAGGCTCGTAGGACTTTAGCGAACACCTCCAGCTCACAGAACTCTCCTCCCAGCTGACAGAGTCGGCCCTGCTGGTAGAGCTGAAACACAAACACAGCGGAGAACAGTGAGAGACAGAAACGGATCAGAACCAAAACACAGGCAGCAGGTCTGCTCTCTGGGTTTGGGATGTTTTAATGATTCACAGAGTTTGCTGAAGTCATCTAAACGCACTGAGGTGGAAGCTGCTGAGCGTAAAGCCCCGCCCACCAGCCCCTCCTCAGGCTTCCAGCCTCAGAGTGAAGATCAGTAGACCTAGACTCTGGCTAATGAGAGAACATCAGCATTCTCACATCTCTACATCTGTAAAAGCTGCTGGGGCCCGGGGCCACGGTTCCCTGTTTAAAGGAAAAGTCGCTCATATTCAGAATTCAAACTTCTGAAAGTTCTTTAAATGT